GTCCCAAACAATCTTATTCATCTATACACCCACTTCCCAGATGGCACCCTCCCATAACCTCCCCCCAACCCCTCTCTAGAGACCTTATACTCTGTCATCCCTGCTACTGTCTGCTGTGGTGTCGACACCCCCAGCCGTTCACCACTACTTGTCCATCCAGTGAATCTAGTCAGCCTATCTAGAGGTCTTTTAGGAAGGTCAGCTTCCTAAGATTGGGGTCTGCTGTTCATTTTCCCAGTTCTACGCTGGGTTACTATCTGGGAGTCCCTTGGGCCACCCTGGCCAACAACTCAAAAGAAGGTATCTCCTATCTGGCATTGTTGCTTGTTATATAGCCTTATAGCTATACATATGGACCCTTAAAAATTATATTGGCCCCCCTTAATCTTTGGTTATATTTCCTTTTGGGTGTTTTCTAAGGCCATACACTTGGCCCAGATAAACCAATTTATTTTTACTCTTAAAGCCATTTGAGGATCTGTTCCTCAGGGGTTACACAGGCTTAGGAGGAGCCCCTGGCTCCTTTCTTTTACCAGTTCTGCCTGTATGAAGATAAGTCAAAGGTCCTGCTTGTCTTTTTGAGACAGGGTCTCCCTGTACCCCCAGGTGACCTAGAACTATGTAGACCAGGGTGGCCTCGAACTCATAGAGATCCACCTGCCTCTGCCTCCCAAGTGCTGGGATCAAAGGCATGCACCACTACACTTGGCTGTAACATTATCTTTTTATAGCAAAGAAAAAAAGGATCTATCTTATATCTATTTCCTCAGTCATAATTGACTTTTAAGTGAAACAGTAATAATCAGATAATATCTTCATAAATAAAATGATACTAAGAATTATAATTACCTTACTGCTTCTCACTCTATGAAGTTTATTATGATAATCCTACATAATTTTTTTGCCCATTTTTGTTTTTCTCTTAAAAGTATGGAACACAGGACTGGAGAGATGGCTCAGCAGTTAAGAAAAACTGGCTGCTCTTGCAGAGGACCTGGGTTTGGTTTCCAGCACAAACATGGTAGCAAATAACCATCATAATTCTAATTCCAGGGGATCTGATGCCCTCTTCTGACCTTCATGGGCATTACATACACATGGTGCAATCACATACATGCAGGCAAAACACTCATAACCCATAAAATGCAAATAAATGAAAAAATAATTTTCTTTAAAAAATGGAACGCTTCAGGAATTTGTGTGTCATCCTTACCCAGGGCCCGTGCTAATCTTTGTCAATCCCATTTTAGTGAATGCTGCTACTGAAAAGAGTACATGATTTTTTTTTTAAAGGTTAAAAAAAGAGGAACAATAAACAGCCCCTTACCTTGTAAGATGGCAAAAAGCACAAAATTCCTCGGCTCACAGTCTGGCACACAGACAACAAAAGCATTCCCACTTCATCCTGGAACTCAAATGTTTCAGTATGCTGGAAGGTAGCACAGAGATTCCGACCCTTTGGGCCTGAACCAATAGTACCAACCCAAACCTAGAATATGAATATGTTAGTATTAAAGTTATGCCTAAATAAGGCAGGAAAGTCAGTATTTAGTTGGGAGTGCTTTCATTTATATAAAAGATGATCAAGCAACAAATTTAGCAGAAATTTATCATAAAACTATGGGAATTTTCTTTAATACCTTTGTCTAATTGTATACAAATAGGCTGGTATCAATTCAAATCAAGTTATCGTAACTTTTGGTACTATCATAATCCTCACAGTAACTACAAAGAAATATTTATGTAACAGGCACAAAACAAAATGATAAATATATCACAATATATCAGTACCAAAAAAAAAAGAAGCAGCAGCAGCAGCATTGGTAGACCAATAGAGAAGAAAAGCCTGCAAAATACTAACAATTCATTTAAGTTCTGCCTTAGGAAGATCACTGAATCCATCTCTCTTTCATCAATAACTTTATAAAATTAAGGATGTAAGAATTATTTGTGTGATGAGTAAGTAAACATATGAAGTGAATCTGCCAGGTCGGTACAGCAACAGCAGAATTCGCTCAGTCCAAAATACTCGGGTGAAAGGCTGATGTAATTTCCAAAGGCTGGTTTCAACTCCTCTGTTACAAATTCATTTGTGTTCAAAGATTCTTAGAAAATAGAAAAATTGGACCCACTGAATTTTAGTTATCTATGAATCCTTACATCAAAAGACTTAGCCTTAATCTGGCTAATTTGATTATGGGAAAGAGCAAATTTCATTAGGTATCTAAAGGCAACATAAATACTGCAGTGTCGGAAAACAGAAGAGTGATATATTTTAAAATGACATTGAGATATGACAATGACATATACATTTTGCAAAATAGATTTAACAGATAATACTTTTAATAAGACAAACTGATAGGCTTTGTTCCCTAGTAAGTTGCAATAGGAAACAACAATGTAACCTGAACAGAATTCTTGCCCACTGTTTAACTTAAACCTTATGAGCAAATAGAACCAAATTAGACTATAAAACATGTCTCCAGACAAGTGATGACTTGACATTTTCAGAATTGTCAGTCAAAAAGAACAGGGGGAAAAAAAGAGGCAAAAGTACTGTTCTAAAGAATTAGAGACAGCTGCTGAGCATGGTGGCACATGTTTAATCCCAGCACTTGGGAGGCAGCCAGCTAGGGCTACAGGAAGACCCTGTCTCAAAAAGACCAAAAAAAAAAAAAAAAAAAAAAAAAAAAAGAAATAAAGAGACAGGAAAACTAAATATAATACATACAGAGTACTTGATTGAATCCTAGATTAAAAAATAAATAAAATGAACAGATTTAAAAGTCACATTGAGAACAGTTGGGAAAATGATGCAAATACTAACTCCTTTGGATATTATCACAGGTGGTTAAGTACGACAAGTACTTGTAGGGCTGGTGGATATAACTCAATGATAGAACACTTGCCTAGCATATTCAAGGCCCTGGGTTTGATTTTAAAATAGTATATAGGGGGCTGGAGAGATGGCTCAGTAGTTAAGAACACTTACTGCTCTGGCAGAGGACCAGAGCAGTACCCAGCACCCTCATCAGGCAGCTCACAACTGCCAGTAACTGCAGTTCCAGGGAACCCAAAGCCTCCTGGCCTCCATGGGCACCAGGAACACACATGGTGTACATACTCTCATGCAGGCATACACACAGACACATAAATAATAATAATAAATAATTGCTAAAGTTTTTTAAAAATTACACAGGATAATATACTTGTTCTTAGAGGATACATTGATTGGAAAAGAGTGGAGCATGTAACTCAGGATGGAGATAAATGGCAGGATATAAACCTATTTATTACATCAATTAAAGTTTTCAGCTTTTCTAAAATTTATAATTTTTGAAACTAAAATTTTATATAAAGTCAATGGACAAATGGATAAACAAATTTTGGCATAGTCATACAATGAGATACTATTCAACATAAAAGGAAAGAAAAATAGATGCATGCTACAACAGATGAACATTGTGGACATTATCTACAAAATAAGGACAGACCTTGAAAACATTATGCTAAGTAAAAAAGGCCATTTACAAAAGACAAAAACCTTAGGATTCCATTTACATGAATTATCTAAAGCAGTGAAATCCACAGAAATAGAAAGGAGAAGGTGAAGGTGTTGGTGAAAGAGGAATGAAATTGTTTAATGGGAACACTTTAAAATTTAGCAACATGAAAACTTCTTGAGATTAACTGTGTAACAATGTAGATTGTGGATTAGCTGTGCACTTAAAAATGATAAGATGGTAAATTTTATTCTATATGTGTTTTGTTTGTTGTTGTTGTTTTGTTTTGAGACAGGTTCTTACTACATAGTCCTGGCTGACTCACTATGGAGACCAGGCTGGCTTCGACTTCAGAGAACTGCCTGTCTCTGCCTCTTGCATGTTGGGATTAAAATTGTGTGCTACCATGCCAGGCTTACATGGTTTGTTTGTTTTTTTCCTTTTCTTTTTTTTGTCTTTTTGAGATAGGGTATCCCTGCAGCCCCAGCTAGCCTGGAACTGGCTATGTAGACCAGGCTGGCCTTGAACTCACAGAGATCTGCCACCTCTGCCTCCTGAGTGCAGGGTTTAAAGGCATGCGCCACCATGCCTGGCCATATTTTTTTTAATCACAACTAAAATTTGAAAGTAATTTTTAAGCTTAAGGGCAATATTAAAACACTATTCTACGACCCCCACTATTATTATAATTTAGTGATATTTTAGGTTAAATGGACTTTATATATATTAGGTTAAAAACAGAATTAGAGGATACAATAGCAAAATTATAAAAAGCTATATGTTGAATTTGCTAACCTCTTGTTTATGTCTATTTATACTTCCAAACAAGACAGCATGAAGTGTTGAAACACAGGTAAGAACCTGTATTCTTACTTCACTACTGTTTGTAGCAATGTATCTCAACAGGTACATCCTGGCATTTTGGAAAGCAAATTCTTAGTTACATAGATGCTTAGAATTTTAGGTCCCAAGCACTAAATGTCAGTAGTTGCTTTCAAGCAACTAAAAATATCCAGTAAGTATAAACCTGTACATAACAGCTTTACAAAGAACTAGAATTGTATTAGGCATAGAATTGTATTACTTCATAAAAAGAAATAGAGTCGACCAGGCGTGGTGGCACAAGCCTTTTATCCCAGCACTGAGGCAGGCAGATCTCTATGAGTTCAAAGACAGTCTGGTCTACACAGTGAGTTCCAGGCCAACTGGGGCTACAGGGAGACCCTGTCTCAAAAAGACCAAAAAAAAAAAAAAGAGAGAGAGAGAGAGAAATAGAGCTATGAGTGATGGCTGTCACTTGAGAGGTGGAAGCAGAAGGATCAAGAATTCAACTGTCCTTGATTACACAGTAAGTCTGAGGTCAATTTAGACTACATGAGACACTGCGTTATGGGTATACATGTATTGCCTGCATGTAGGTAAGTGCACTCGTGTCGTGCAATGCCCGCAAAGGATGGAAGAGACTATCAGATCCCCTAGAACTGGAGTTACGGACAGTTGTTAGCTGCCATGTGGGTGCTGGGATTCGAACCCGGATCTTCTGCAAGAACAGTCAGTGTTCTTAACCACTGAGCCATCCCTCCAGCCGCCCCAATTATAGTTTTTAAAAATCATAATAAAAATGATAATTCAAATATTTCAAGGAAAATTAAAATCATATTTGTTAGTTTTTAAAACTAAATATTAAATTATAACATTCAAAGATTACTTCTAGTCCATTTTAGGTATTAATGTAGGTATGGAGGAAAAAGATAGAAAAATAAGGATATACCATAGTCTAATAGAAAAGAGAAACAAATAGCTACAAATAGAACTATAGTAGAAAAATGAATATTTTCATTTGTTTTTATATTTCATAGAAAGATTAAAACATTTGAATGAGTTTTTAGTAGTCTTGGAATCCAAAGAGACGGAGCTGACAGGCTAGCATCAGTGTTTCTTTCATTGACACTACTAAGAATTAAGCAGCTGACAGATTTTCTTTTATTTTAAAAATAAAATGTGAGGGGCTGAGAGATAGTTCAGTGGTTAAGAACACTGACTGTTCTTGCAGAAGATCCAGGTGTGAATCCCAGCACTCACATGGCAGCTAACAACTGTCCGTAACTCCAGTTCTAGGGGATCCAATGGCCTCTTCTGTCCTTGGGCGTTGCACGACACGGGTGCAGTTACCTACATGCAGGCATAACACTTATACATATAAAATAAAAATGATAAATAAAATATTTTAAAAATAAAATGTGAATTTTCTATCTGGGTTTATTTGTTAGCGTTTAAGATATCCTTACATTCAGGTAAAAAGACTGAGAGCCTAACAAAATAAAGAAAAACAAAAAACCAACCTGTGATTTATTGATGACATGGTTGGCCTCCAGTTGGATAGTAAATGTAACACCAAGTTCTGATGAAAAAGATTTCAGAGGTGACAATGTTCCCGATGTCAAAACAATTGTCCGTACTTGGTCATTAATATCTGAAAAGGCCTATAAGGAAACATTGTGTAAATAAGATCATCTTTAACAAAGCGAAACACATTTGTTTAATAGTTGGTACTGACCAGGAAGAAAAAATTGGCATTTACACCAGAATGAGCTTACCACGGCTGGATTTAAGCACCAAAAGCTTAGCACATGAACTCCAATTTTTTGTCGTACACGTTTCTTATTTTTTGGTAAAGCCAAGACCCCATTTTTATCTGAAATAGCAATCTGATTTGTCCAGGAGTAAGTCTGTTGTATAGCAACTTTATAATCATCTGCGAATCTAAATGCAAAGACAATGCTAACTGAATGACAAAACATTATAAAACAATGACCCAGCTGCAAACAGTATCTAACCTGATAGCACTGAAACTCAGCTAAGAGTGTCATGCCTTCCTGCACAACATAACCCTGGCCCCACTAGTTAAATTCAGTAATTCTGATGTAAATTAAGTCACTCAATAACAAAATTCAAACAATTCATATAGGAAATATTAAAAATCATCTAACCATTCAATCTGTCCCAAAAAGGTCCCCCACAAAGGACAAATAATGTATTAGTGCTCTAATATGAAATAACTAGAAAGAGCAAACTCAAAGATGAGGGAAAAATTCCTAAGACAAGAGAGATTAAGGAGCAATTAGTATGCAAGTATAAAATCCTGTTTTAGAATGATAAAAATTTCTGGAAATGAACAATGGTGATGGCTGTACATTATAGTGCAAGTGTGTTCTACAGCACTGGTTAGCATGGTAGTTTCAAGGCTGGAAAGATGGCTCAGTGGATAAGAGCACTGGCTGGTCTTGCAGAAGACCCAGTTCAATTTCCAGCACTTACAGAGAGGCTAACAACAACCATCTCTAACTCCAGTTCTAGAAGATCTGACACCCTCATCTGGACTCCTCGGGCTCTGCATGACACAGGTGCAATATACTCATACACATAACATAAAAATAAATAAATTTAGCATGTATTAAACACACTAGCAATCATAGGCTATCTTTATTTTATTATTGCGTATATGTACATAATTTGTGTATGGATGCAGGCACCATGGCATGCATGTGGAGGTTAGAGGACAACATTAGACTTGGTTCTCTCTTTCCACCTTACTTGGGCTCTGGGTAACTCAGGTCTCCATGCTTGTACAACAACTAACTTTATCCACTGAGCTATCTTGTTGGCTCTAGGCTAATATTTTTCAGAAGAAAACAACAGACCAGAGCCCTTCACTTACCTGCTATTTTCCCTAAAAAGATAGTCAAGCACCATAAAGAGTCCTTTGAGCATTATTTGAGTTGAAGCACTAATAATAGGGACTTCTATTGCCTCCTCTTTACCATGAATTGATGAGACTTTTTCTTCTTTTTGAAGGATAGTAGAAAAATGTCTCTGTAAGAAAGTACCATATTATGCATTAAGGGGGCAGAGTAGGGGAAGGAAGGAAAATCCTCTGCAAAGTATTAAAACAAAATGAAACACATTGAGATTTTAGGTCTACAATAGGACAAAAATGCTAATAATCTATTTTATCTATTTATGATGGTGAGTGGAATGGAGCCCTGGGCCTCATGCATATTAAGCATTCTACCACTGGCCTACAACCCAAGCCCAAGAATGGAGTTTGACTTTCTATTAGCAAAATTCTCCTCAGAGTCAAAGATATTTTAGTAATAGGATACTTTAATAAAAAATGAGATATTTAGAGGAACAATTAGTTCTTCAGGCGAGTATTATTTAGTACATTCCAAAAGCAATGAACTAAAATAAAAAGGTAGTAAATGGTTTTATTTAAGAGTTGATATGTTTTCCTAAATGCCTGAATTATATTTAGGAAGTAACTCTGGTAATGAGAATACTATATGTTAAAATGTATTATTATCCTTTTTTGTTGTTGTTCTGGGGGACAAAGCCAGATCTTCAAGACTCTACTGAGCCATACACTTCAACCTGATAAGCAAAATTATTTAAGAAATAAGAGGGTAAAAAAGAAAAATCCAAGAGCAGATACATGGAAAGAGTAATAAGTTTATTATCAACCATTTTATCATGCCCCAAGGAAGAACAGCTTAGGGTTCAGAGATGAATCCCTCAGCCTGCCAATCTTTCCAGGAGGAAAAGTGAGAGTATAGTGAATGATGAATGCAACAAATAGAATATAAAATAAAACATACACTAGCTGAGTGTGGTAACATATGCCTGCGCTCCCAGCACTTGGGAGGTAGAAGCAGGAAGATTAAGAGTTCAGTCATTCATAGCTAAACAGCAAGTTCAAGGCCAGCCTAGACTACACGAAACCTCATCTTCAAAAAGAAAAGAAAGCATATGCACTATTATTTAGTCTTAAAAAAGAAATGTGCAGGGGTTGGAGAGATGGCTCCATGGTTAAGAGCACTGGCTACTCTTGCAAAGGGCAAAACAGAAAACAAAAAAGTCTTTTAGCTTAGACAAGAAACAAAAAAGAACAAAACAGTCTTATTCTTATCTGCTTAAAAAAATCTTGAGAATATGGTAAAAGTTGTGAAACCTATATCCATTAGAATATGCAAAAGTACATACTCGTGAGCTTCATAAACTGTCCACTAACGATCTCCACCCACGAACCTCCAATAATCTGTCACACAACACAAAATATGAACTTCTTCATTTTCCTAAACTTACTAAAAATTAATTGTTCATACTTTCATAAATTTTAAGTCTTATAATTGATACATTTACAATCTAAAAATAGTGTTTTCTTTTAGGTGTGAATAAAAAAATAACTCCTTTAAAGTCTTAAATTGTTCAAATTAAATAATGCTATTTTTCTACTATAATTTATTTGTGTCAGTGCTTAAAGATTATCAGCTTTAGACAAGAAATTTTTAAAACAAGTTTTAAATTGCTTTTTAAAAAAATTCTGGAAAAACAATTTCTGGATTCTTTGTTGGATATATTACAGATTTACTTACTACTAAATCGCTTCGAATTTACTAAATGAATGAATTTCAAGGGTGGGAAAACATCTTACCTGTAAAATGGGAAAAGTAGCAGCAGTGATGCCCATTTTGTATAAATTTAACAGCATTTCATTTCCATTCCATATTTTACAAGATGATTCATAGCCCCTTTCTACCAGATGTTCAGAGTTTGTTTCTAACCACCTGGAACAAAATAAAGCAATTCTGTCAACCACTATCATCCTTAAGTGTGTCATTTCAACAGAATTGGAGAACTGTTATTGTCATACAGTGAGACCTGTATATATATTCCTTGAGGTTCTTAGGGCATAAGCATGGGTTAACACACCTTCAAAAATGTACATTTCATACTGTAAAATAAACATTGCATAACTAAAAACAAGTTTTTATTAAGAAAAAAAGTGGATTCGCATCGCTTTATGTTTGACAGCTAGGTATAAAGTGTTCATCTCAAATGCACATAAATATACATGCAAAACAGGGCTGGAGAGATGGCTCAGTGGTTAAAAACACTGGTTGTTTTTGCAGAAGACCCGGATTCAAATCCCAGCACCCACATGGCAGCTAACAACTGTCCGTAACTCCAGTTCCAGGGGATCCGACAGCCTCTTCTGACCTCCGCAGGCATTTCACGACACAGGTGCACTTACCTACATGCAGGCAATACACGCATACACATAAAATAAAAATAATAAATAAAATATTTTTTAAAAACCATGCAAAATAAATATTTATACTGCATATTAACAGAAAAAAGTAACTTGAAAATATTGTTATGCACACTCATTCACTTAATAATTGCTTGAGTGCCAATTTTATGCCAAAGATCCCAGTAGAAATTATAGCAGTAGCTACAGTAGACAAAGTTCTTATTCTCATGGAAATTAGTTTCCTAAAGGGGGACAAATAAACAGAGGAATACTAAGAAAGGAAATATCAGGACTAAAAATACAGCTCAGTGGTCAAGCACTTGCCTAGCATTCTTGAGACCTTAGGTTCAACCCTCACTCAGCACCACCAGAGGGGGGGGGGAGCAGGCAGGGGGAGGGGAATGGGGAAAGGAAAGGGGAAGGACAGATCAGGTAGTAATACACAGTATTATGAAAATAAAGTTAATCATGAAGGGCCATATTATTATTCCTAAAGTTTATTTTAACAACTGGATGCAAAAAAGAGTGGCCAGTCATGAGAGGGCGAGAAAAAAAAAAGTGTTTTCTAAACAGAAGGAATAGCTGGTACAAAGTTAACAAGTTTTACTCCTTTAAGGACCTGAGAGAAAATCAATGCAGTTATTGCAAAACAATAAATAATGGTACAAACAATGTTAGTGTGATAAAATGGAATCAGACTGCTTTAAGCAAGGATAAGAAATTTGGATTCTATCCAAAGTTTGAAAAGGAGTTTTAAATAAGTGAGTATTTTAAGTGATTAAAAGGTGACTCCAACTTCAAACGAGGATGGATCACAGGAGAAAGAATGAGAGCAGAGACATGTTAGGAAACTGTTGCAATGTTCTAGATTACCAACAACATTAAGACCTCAGAGAGTGGAAAAAAAAAGATGGCTTTGGGACACATTGTACAAGTGGCACCTAATAAGGTTTAATGATTAACTGGATGAAAAGAGACAGTAATCAAAGACAATATTTAGATGTTTGATTTGAAGAATTGGTAGGCTCTATTTCTTTAGATGTTAAAGAATGGGTACAGAGGGAGAGGGGACAGTAAATAGAGTAAATTAAGATATTTTGTTCTGAAATCAAAGTTGAAATGTATTTGATATCCTAACAGATATGTCTGATAGCTGATTACATGAGAATCACTCCAGGGAGAGGTTGGGGGTGGAGGCAGATTTAGGTTCAGCAGCACTGGAGATTATACTCAACACTCCTTAAACTGTGGGTTGCAACCCTGTATGAGGTCATGAACTCAATGTGGAAGCTGTGAAAAAATTGATAATAACTGAAGGAATAAGCAATAATCAAAAATAAATTCAAAATCAAACACAAAGGATCTAAGGAATGAGGCTGGGAGATGGCTTAGTGGTTAAAGTGCTTGCTATGTAAGCATGAGGACCTGAATTTGGATCTCTACCACCTACATAAAAGCCAAACATAGGAAACTATGTCTATAACCTTACTGCTGGCAGGCTAGAGATGGGGGTTCCCAGGAGGTAACCAAATTGATGATTTCTAGGTTCAGTGACATATTTTGTCTCAAAAAAAATTATAAGGTAGAGAGCAATAGAGGAAGAAACTCATCAACTTCTGGCCTGCACACATGTACATAGGTGCACGCATCCTCACACATATGAGTGCACACACACACACACAAAATAAATAAATGAAAGAGAGGAGAAAGAGGGAAGAGAGAGAGAGAGAGAGAGAGAGAGAGAGAGAGAGAACAAACTTGCATTTCTGGCAGCCTTCACTACTTTGCATTTTGTGACTCCAATGCAACCCTGGATAAGAATGTAATGTGTGTGCTTGCACTGTCCATGCTGTCATGGGAAGCCACTGAACACTGCCTGAAACATCTAAGCTCAGATTTAAGATGCTGTATAAATGAACTGTTGTGCTTTACTGTGCATATAAAGTTTTCTGCTCTTACAGAAACATAATAGTTTAATTAAAGTAAACAAACATTTTTAGTATTTTCCTACCATTATTCCTCAGCTTGTAAGCATCTGGATTGTATTTATTAGAATGTTTCATTCTAAAAACTGCTGTTCAAGTTGCTACTTTGAGTTTCATGAAAAATTGTTCAATGAATTTTGTCTGTGGTTAGGAATTTTCAACACTTTCTAAAATGGCTTTGAACATACTTCTGCCACTTTGCACTATGTATATAAGTGAATCAGTGTTCTCAGCACAATTATAAAATCAAAATATCAATCAATTCTGGAAAATGTTGAAGAAGAGCCAGCTGCTTGCTGCCAAACCTAATGACCTGAGTTCAGATCTCAGGATCCACATGTGGGAAGAAGAGAATAGACTTCCTCTCCCCTAACCACTACACATGCAATGTGGCATGTACATGTACACACCCACATGCATACACACACATAGAATGAAATAGAAAAAATGTTGAAGATTGTCTATGTCCTGCACTATGAAATATTTAGTTATTACTTAATTCGTTACGTAAAAATAAATATGTAAATATAAATCTGTCTTTATTAAAAAGTAAAATTACATGTATACCAAAGAATTGTTTTAAAATAACTTTCCTGGGGCTGGAGAGACGGCGGAATGATTTTAAGAGTGCTTGCTGCTCTTCTAGAGGACCCAAGAGTTCAGTTACTAGGATCCATGTCAGGTGGCTTACAACTACTTGCAAGGGACACTCTCTGATCTCCGACCATGTACCTACACACACACATGCACATATATACAGACATACACATACACATAAATAAAAATAAATAAATATTAGAAAATAAACTTATTTATGGTTTATTATCAGTAATATTTGAACACCTATTTTATATCTGTATACACGAGTAAAAATAAAAATTTATTGGGCAAAAGGGGTCATGAGTGGAAAAACTTTAGGAAGCCTGCTCTACGTTAGAGTACCAAGCTATAGAATTTAGGGGATATACAGAGCTAGAAAAGAAACTGGGTCCCAGGGCAAAGTCCTGAGCAACATTTAGACATCAAACAGAATTGAGAAGTAATAAACTATAAGGAAGACCAAAACCAGAGACCTCATAAAAGTTAAAACAAAATGTTTGTGAGGAATGGCTCAGTAGATAAGCACATTTGGTACCAAGCCTGGCGACCTGATCTAATCCCCAGGACCCACAAGGTGGAAGGAGAAAACTGACTCCTCCAAGTTTTACTCTGACCTCTACTTAAGTGCTGTGGCAAGTGTGCTTTCACACATATTCAAATAAGCAAAAATAAATATCGTTAAATTAAAAGTGAATAACTAAATAAAGTACATATCATGCAAGCCTAACAACCTGAGTTCAAGCTCCAGAACGTATAGTAAGACAGAAATGACTCTTAGAAGTTGTTCTCTGGCTCTGCTTCCCTGGGCCTGCAGGAACCTCAGGCCTCTCTCCAACCTGCAGGTTTCTCTCTCCGGGGTAAGTCCATCGCGCCCTCCACGGCTTAACACCCCCAGCCTCACACACTCCCATCTCTCCTGCTGGTCTCTCCTCCTAGCCTGGGTTCTTTCCCATTCCTTGTCTTGGCGCCACAGATGCCTGGGGAAGCACCACTGCTTCTTCCTGATCCTTTGCATCCAGAGCAATTCAGTTCCTTCTCAGGTCCCCAGGAGCACTGCTTCTGGGCCTGGCCCCGCCCTCACCTCCCTATGCATCGCAGTGCTGGCAGGACTTGCAGGCCTCTCTCCAGGGTAAGTCTATCCTGCCCTCCATGCATTGACTCCCCCAGCGTCACTCACCCTCCCATCTCCCCCACCAGTCTTTCCTCCTAGCCTGGATCCTGTCCCATTCCTTGTCTTGGCGCCCCAGACACCAGGTGGAACAATCACAGCTTCCTGATCCTGTGCATCCAGAGCAACTCAGTGCCTTCTCAGGTCCCCAGGGATGCTCTGGGCCTGGCCCCGCCCTCACGTCCCTATGCCTTCCCCAGCCTCTTTCCTGGACGCTGGAGCTGACCTTTCCTCTTCCTGGTCCTTTACATCCAGACCAACTCAGCTCCTCAGTGCAGTCCCCAGCGGCCCTTGGGGCTGCCTCTTGCCCCCATCTTCCTTTGCATCTCTGGGTGGCATGGCCAACAGCTGCCCTAGACCAGCATCTTTCCTGGGCCCAGCTCCCAGGCCAGTCCAACCCCCAAATTCCTGAAGCCAAAATCTATCCTGGAGGGATCCAGACCTTAGGAGTAAGTCTGAGAGCATCTGATCCTCATCTGACTTGGCCTCTGTGAGAACTACTGAAGACAAAAGCAATCTGGCCACTCCAATATAAAATCAAAAGAAAGAACCAGCCTTTCATACACAAAAAGTAAACCATAAAGACACATAAAGTTCACAAAAAGAAGCAGACCTAAACCTGAAGGCTTGAGTCTCACACAAGAATTAGAAACAACAAAAGAAATTCACATGCCAAAATAACAAAGAAAAAATAATAACATGAAAAGCCAAAATAACATATCCCTGCTAAATACCAATAGTCCTCTAGAGGAGTACAATGAGAACCCGCTAGAGATAATG